TCTTCTTCTTATTCTTCTTCATTTTCTAGTTCTTCTTCTTCTTCTTCTTCTTCTTCTTCTTCTTCTTCTTCTTCTTCTTCTTCTTCTTCTTCTTCTTCTTCTTCTTCTTCTTCTTCTTCTTCTTCTTCTTCTTCTTCTTCTTCTTCTCTTTCTTCCTCTTCTTCTTCTGCTTCTGCTTCTTCTTCTTCTTCTTTTTCTTTTTCAGCGTTTGATTTTCTTCTCTTCAGTCAGGAAGTCATTTCAGTTTACATTTCAATAGTAGCAGCTGCTATGGGACTTGACTGGCTGAAAGATTAGTTAGGCCTAGCCTGTGATTTTCCCCAACCTATCTCTGATGTCAATCCGACATGGCCAATCCCAAAATCCCAGTTCAGCTTTGAGTAGAAGGAAAAAGAAGTTCTAACTGGGGCACACATAGCAGGTACTCTAGTCCCGTGTTGCCTACAGTCTTTTGTAGATAATGAATATTTTCAGATGGCTGAGGACTATATATAATAATTTAGCAGCTTCAAATGGCCTCTATGTAAATTAATATGTTAAAACATGTTTTTTAACCAGTATTTCTTTGACACTGACGATATTCAGCTTTCGCGTTCTTAAAGGTAACAAGTTCCCTCATTCCTATGACCAACTGCCCAAAGTGTCCACACAAAAGGTCAATCTTCTAGAGATTGGCAACGTCGTTCATGGCTCCGACAATATGTATCCGTGGATACAGGCACACGGTCAGTATACAATACATACAAGTCATTTGTTCTGTCTGTGTCAGTTATTAAAATTCTTTTACGTTTTTAAAAGTAATATCCTGTTTAACCAGTGTGTATTAATAATTATTTGGACAAAAATAAACAATTAAAAATGAACCTTATAAAAAGCTTCTAAATCGGTCAATTGTTATTTAAGCACATTAGTTCGTATTTGATTGTTCATGTTTTCGAGCAATTGCTGCCATCATGATGTGTTCGCCACACTTCTTCGTAAAGGTGAGTATCTAGTGCAGTTCCATTTTATGTAACCCAGTGATACATTTTAAATAACCCAATTGCATGCTGGGTCTTCACAGCTTTTAAAACCTACGAAAACAAATAATTAATGAACAGTAAATCATAAAGCTGTCCTGTGGAAGTAAAGACGGCCGGCGTAATTCTGACCACATTACCCATCCAGTGCCGATTGGTCTGTAAAAATATGGGACGCTCTTCCCATATACCCGATGCGCCTAAGGCGTGAAAGTGGATCTTTACTTTTAAAATCATAAAGCACGTACGGAGATGTGTATCTTGTTCAGTTCTTTCACTATTTAATTTTGTGTAGATTTTTACAGTTCTCTAGTTTATAATTTAGCATTGACAATTTTCGCCAGCGGGCTAAGTAACTTGCCCAGCAGTTAAAATCGCGTAGCTCTCATGCGAGAGACCCAGGTTCAAATCTTCGGTAAGGTTATGAATTTTGATTTTTCGTCTGATGTGGGCAAATATAAAATCCTAGCATTCACAGCAGTGACAGCACTAGCCAGGCAGTCCTAAATCCTCATGCTTAAAGACTTTCCCACTCTGCCCCCCCCCCCCCTCAACCTTTCTCTCCTTGCCTAGACCTGTGATACATTTTGTCGGCGTCTGTGGCTGAGGCTTGCGAACGCGCTTCGTAATACCGAGGTGCGGGGTTCGATCCCAGCTGCGGACGATTTGTCTTGCGCTGGTTTCGACGGTGGTACCGAGAGCTGACCGTTCAGTGGCAATGGCAAACTACTAAAAGTACAATTTGCCTAGAAAAACTACAACAGGCAATCAATCCTGGGGCTGGTTGTGTAACGTTCTGTAAAGGATTCGCAACTAACAGTGATACATTTTAAATAACCCAGATGCATGCTGTGTCTTCGCAGCTTTCAAATACTACGAAACAAATACTTAATGAACAAAAACTGACAAAAGACTTAAGGGGATTGGGGGGGGGGGGGAAGGGGGTACCCTTGTCCCTTTCTGTCTTAAGTAAAAGACCTATTGTTCTTCTTAAGGTTCCCTGATGATCATAGCCTGGATGTTTTTCGCCAGCAGCGGATTACTGACAGCCAGACATGGAAGGAACATGTTCCTCAACACAAAACCTTTTGGTATTCACATTTGGTTCCATGTAAGTCATTGATATTGATGCACACTGTTGCGTAATGGATTAGTGAAGTTGTTTTGTAATGATGTTTACAAGTTACCAAACTTGTAATGTTCTAGAGTCGTTTTTACAATGAACACTTAATCTATGTATCCATCGACGGCACCCCAACAGAATGTGTAAATAAGTACAAAAAAGACTTGAGCTTGAACACAGTTACTTGCTTATCCTTTAGAGGCCTTTGCAGAACTAACCCCATAATTATTTTGGTTGTTGTTGTTTTTCTAGGCAAATTTTCGTCTAGTAGTTTGCCATTGCCTCTGGACGGTCGGATCTCGATACCATTGTCGAAATCAACGCAAAGCGGTCTGCTGTCAAACCGCTTGCAGATGGAATCAAACCCTAAGCCAGAGACGCCGACTTGAGCTTGATTTTTAAGAGAAATCTAGTCCTCAACTCCCACATACTAGAAAATATTCTGTACGTCCCACATCCGAACTCATCTAGATGATTGCTTTACAATATCGAATGCCAGTTCTAAATCAGTCATAAAACGACTTAGAGCATCTAAAAAAAAAGAGCCCTATGCGTATTATTTAATAATCTTTGAATTCTTTACGCTTTTACCGCTCCATAAACGCTAATTTTTAATAAGGCTAAACTTGTGTTAAGAAATGCTCTCCAAAAATGGGTCAGATTATCGTTGACCTTTGTTTAAGTATAAGTTTATTTCTTGAACATAGAATTAAATAAAAATGATGAAACTAGAAAGAAAGAAAGAAAGAAAGAAAGAAAGAAAGAAAGAAAGAAAGAAAGAAAGAAAGAAAGAAAGAAAGAAAGAAAGAAAGAAAGAAAGAAAGAAAGAAAGAAAGAAAGAAAGAAAGAAAGAAAGAAAGAAAGAAAGAAAGAAAGAAAGAAAGAAAGAAAGAAAGAAAGAAAGAAAGAAAGAAAAGAAAGAAAGAAAGAAAGAAAGAAAGAAAGAAAGAAAGAAAGAAAGAAAGAAAGAAAGAAAGAAAGAAAGAAAGAAAGAAAGAAAGAAAGAAAGAAAGAAAGAAAGAAAGAAAGAAAGAAAGAAAGAAAGAAAGAAAGAAAGAAAGAAAGAAAGAAAGAAACCTTTCTATTTCATATCTTGTATTACAGATTCACAGAGCATTCATGGGAACGACAACTCTACTGACATTGGCTGCTTTTATTCTTATACTTATTGAAGCTAAAGGATACAGTTACGTAAGTTTCTTCCCCTGGCTCCGAAATGTGTCAAAACCACATTGATAACGTTGTTATGGAAACAGTATTCTTATTTGCTCTGTAGGTTACAGTGAAAACATATGTTAGAGACAGGCGGTTTGATAATAGGTGTTTAATTGCTACATATGCTGAGTTATGGTCACCTTATTCCAAATTTTTAAACAAATAAAAACTTCTGAACTGAAATGCTTTAGAGCGATTCTCAGAATACCAAGGTCAACTATATATTCGTCATCCCCTTGTGGGATGCAATTTTTAATTATTTCGAAGCTCCACCCTGGCTCTTGCCAGGGGCCGCAATATAGCTTGGCCATAAATATGGTCTAATGGCTAAACGCGGTTTCCGGGACCTCTTAGCGGGTGATCCTCATCCACATGGTGGCACTTTGTGTCATCGGGTGTTTATTGCTTGTGTCATGCCCTAGTGGGGAATAATGTACTACTACCAGGGTCATTGTCGTCCCTATGTGGAACTGAAGTTTTCGTTATTTTGAAGCCCCGCCCTGACTTTTTCCGGGGGCTGCAATATAGCCTGACGTTTGAAGGCGGTTTCTGGGACCTCTCCATGGCTTATCCTCATCTACATGGTGGCACATTGTGTCACCGGATGTTTATCGCTCTGTGTGATGTTCTGGTTGGGTAAAATTTAGTTACTTAAATGCGATGGACCAAGAAAAAAAAACTGACATCCTAAAAGATCTGAACATCAACAAGTAAACAGCATCTTGTCTCTAAAAATGAAATACTTTGGCCATATCAAGTGTCACGATGAAATGGAAAGAATGGTAGCAGAAAGCGTGGTGCATGGAAAGAGGAGCAGGGGCCGACCAGCACAAAGAAGGGCACGGGATATGACACCTTGAGTATGGAAGTGAAGTGTGCAAGGCAGAAGATTGGGCGAGAGACAGTGTCTTTCAGGCAATCTGTGATGAGAACGACGTTCTTCAAAGGACGTGCCACATGATGATGATTCTAAATAAAACGGACGGCAGTATCCAAAAATACACGACCACAAAAGGTGAGACAAGAAATCAGCGAATGTACGGTACGCTGAAGCTGAATGTCATTCTTCACTACTTTGAATATGATGCATTAACTGAAATGCTTCTGTGGATTCTATGTGTATGTTTTAGATTAGTTACCTATATTTTTTTAATGCACAGAGATTAAAGGAAGGGACGCACGGACAGACGGGCATACAGTCAAACAGACAAGCTATCGACTTCTTCCGTGGCAGCAGGTTCCCTGTAGAATGTGACTGATTTTTTAATGTGGAATGTCGATGGTTCTTTATTAACATCGTTCCCTAGATGACGTCACAGGACAGTCCAACATTTTAGAGGGTGGTAAGACTGGGTTTCCTGGCTTTCGGATGCTTGTAACGACCCCAAAGCATATAGAACTAGCCCGAACCCGAACCTATCTGTGTTCTACGAGAGAGTGCAGCCTTGGTCCCACAACTGCATGCAGTCTAGGTCCCACGAATGCATTCAGCCTATCTACCACCCCCTGAAATTTTAGATTGTTCCGTGACCTGTGGATTTCCTCGGTTTGGGGTAGGATATTAATAAAGCACCAGGTTGACTTGTAAACCCCAATCACCATATCCCATACTATTGGATGATAAGAGTTCGAGTATCCAGTAAAACCAATGTTTAGCCAGCGCAAGAGTTTAATCTGCCTAAGCAGATCCAGCTTCCCCACACCACAAGACATCATCGGCGCCCGGTTGGCCCATTGGCTGGCCGGTAGACGACTTCTTAGTCGGTCGGGGCAGTATTTGGGTCTGTCCCTCTTGATCGCATCAACACTGTAAGAGTCCTTTTCATGGCTACTCAGTGGCGAGCAATACAGAACCATTTTATATGGCGCATATAAACCTAGTCGCAGTTAAAACCGAAAGCTCCCCTATTTTTTTTCTTCCCAAAGTAAGCCTCGCCACAGCACAAGAGTTCCCACCCTGTGGGACTATAACATCACAACATGATGATGTCGATTATATATATATATATATATAATTATCAAAGATTAACCATCATAAAATTAACACCTGTGAAATGAGAAACTAGCCTCATTTGTCAGTTTACATTCCTTCATTTCCATTTCTATTGTAAGCTTCACTTCTCTCAATGATTTCCCTTGTTTCTGTTTCCGTAACAAAGTATTTTTTTTTCTTTTTGATTGTTTGTTACGGTAATGGCTTGTCAACCCTTTGCCCAGTCCCTAACCTGGAGGACCAGGGTGCTAGTTTGGTCGGAAATTTCTCTCAAGATCTGTTCGGCATGGTTAAACTTGCCAGGGGAACAAGTCCCCTGCCGGCATAGCTCTGAGAGTCATTAGGGTACTCAGGCCATCCAGCCACGACAAGGCACCAGCACCATGGGATGGGGTTGACGTCATAGTGGCAGTTTCAATATGGCCGCCCCACTTTTGACAAGCACCAAAGAGAAGCAGAATTCCAGTATCTGTTTCAGTGAATGAGTGAAACTTATAGAAATGCATTGACGAATGAACGCCAGTATATTGACTCATGTCTGTCGGTCCAGCTAGTGCACAAATGGAGTAGGCAGTTTCAAAACGGCTTAACTTATGTGAGAGGCTGTTCTCAAGCGGGTCATGCACATCAAGAAGTGACCAGCAAGTCGATTGCAACCGTTGATGGCCTTGTACCGATTGACTGTGGGTGACATTGCCACACACCTTGACATCAGTCTAGGTTCGGCAAACCACATCATCCATAGTGTGCTACAATACCGCAAAGTGTTTGCTTTAAAGGGTGATGTGGTCAGCATCACACCTTCCACCTTTACTTCCCAGAACTCTATGTGGTACCAATTTTAGACTAGGTCAATGTGGGAGCTAAGTTCATAGATCACAAAATCCGTCCGGAAATGGATTCGAACACAAGATCTTAAGACCAGCACGCAAGCTCGTAGTAACTATGTTACCCTTATTTCGTACACAAAGCATATAACGATATTTACCTTCATTTTTCAGATTCCCGAGGTTTCGGGCAAAACGTACAGACTCATTCACCCACCACTGGGTCTTGTCGTCATTGTTTTGGTCCTGGTCAATGTAAGTACACCACAAGGATCAGATACACTCGTTTATCATCAATTTCCATTTATGCCATTTAGGCGGCGTGGGGAGGAACAGTTTGTGATACATTGCTAGATTGGTAGCAATTAATATTGTCGTTCCATGTCTATGTAGAATCTCTTTAATGTCATCAATCTATTTTCTCCTAGGGCGACCTCTTGATTTCACATCAGATCTTTTCCTATGTAGCGCCCGCGTTGGTAGTTGTTCTGGCTGCAGTCTTACTAAATGACCAAACCATTTGATCTTCTGTTTGTCAATGCATTTGCTGCATGGTGTTGTTCACACAGTCTGATAATATCATTTCTAACTTTGTCTCGCTTAGTTAAGTTGGCTGCTTTTCCCAAGGATCTCATTTCACAGATGTTAATTTTATGAAGGTTAATCTTTGATAATTCCCAAGTATGGCACAGTGTTGGTATGAATATGCTGTTTATAATCTGTTTCTTGTCGCTCATACTTATGTTTGAATTCTTAATAACGGTGTCAGTTGGTATATAAGTGCAATTTCTTGTTGGCATCTTGTTCTGTTTCCCGATGTATTATTCCGTATTCCAAGAATAAACTTCCTAGATATTCAAATTCTTTAACTTGCTTCAGACAAGTACCATGCAACCCGATATGTAGCCGACTAGGAACTCTGCTGACCTGTATTACTTCGGTTTTAGTAATATTTATTTTTATGTAATACCTTTTACATGTTGAACTTAGCCTGTTGAAACGGTCTAGCAATCTACTCTCCTCATTGTAGAACATGCAATGATTGTCTGCAAATAGAAGCTCGTTTATTTTGTGTGGATCTAATTCGTTCGCCGGAAGTTGATAGTTTTCTTTATTTTCTGGATCGACTCCTTTAAAACCGGCTTTCTTTGATATTCTTTCTATGTAAATATTAAGAGAGAAGAGAGCACACACGTATCTGCCTAACCTTGGTAGTGATTGTAAACATATGACATAGGCCTTTTGTGTTCTTACTGTATTTGGGAAGTGTGCAACAAGTACATGATGTTATCCAGCAATTGTTCTTGTATCTCAGAATCCTTTAAAAAGCACACTTCTCAATGTATTATATTCTAGGTTTTTTTTTTTTTTTTATGTAAGCAACAGTACGCACTACCGGCACCTTGTTTAAGCCATCCCTTTTCAGCACTTCTATAAGAGACACTCTGTGGTGAGTACCTGCACCTTCTTTCCTGAACTGATAATATTTTTCCGATTAAAAGAAAAGGTTTCATGTTTCCAGTATTGTTGGTGCTCATAGAAGCAAAGGACATACATACAGACAAGTGAGTTCACTGGGTAATATAACAAGGACCCGGTGCATGCTGGTCAATCGTTTCTTCTTCTCTTCTTGGTCAAAATGAAAGCGGGTGACCTATGGAAGCAGGTGACCTATGGAAGCAGGTGACCTATGGAAGCAGGTGACCTATGGAAGCAGGTGACCTATAGAAGCAGGTGACCTATAAAAGCAGGTGACCTATGGAAGCAGGTGACCTTTAAAAGCAGGTGACCTATGGAAGCAGGTGACCTATAAAAGCAGGTGACCTATGGAAGCAGGTGACCTATGGAAGCAGGTGACCTATGGAAGCAGGTGACCTATAAAAGCAGGTGACCTATGAAAGCAGGTGACCTATGGAAGCAGGTGACCTATGGAAGCAGGTGACCTATGAAAGCAGGTGACCTATGGAAGCAGGTGACCTATAAAAGCAGGTGACCCATGAAAGCAGGTGACCTATGGAAGCAGGTGACCTATGAAAGCAGGTGACCTATGAAAGCAGCTGACCTATGAAAGCAGGTGACCTATGGATGCAGGTGACCTATGGAAGCAGGTGACCTATGGAAGTAGGTGACCTATGGAAGCATGTGACCTATGGAAGCACGTGACCTATGGAAGCAGGTGACCTATGGAAGCAGGTGACCTATGAAAGTAGGTGACCTATGGAAGCAGGGGACCTATGGAAGCAGGGGACCTATGAAAGCAGGTGACCTATGGAAGCAGGTGACCTATGAAAGCAAGTGACCTATGGAAGCAGGGGACCTATGGAAGCAGGTGACCTATGGAAGCAGGTGACTTATGGAAGCAGGTGACTTATGGAAGCAGGTGACCTATGGAAGCAGGTGACCTATGGAAGCAGGTGACCTATCGAGAACATGGCTAACGTAGATAGGATCTTTGCTGAGAGGTGTAGATCGATCTTGAACAGCGTGTACTCTGCTCCTGATTTTAATTTTTTTTTAATGGAATCCCCTTGTCGGTCTCGGGATTCCATTGTGTGTGTGTGTGTGGGGGGGGGGGGACAAGAATAGATCCAATGCCTCCCTAACAAGTATGTCAAAAAAGTCAACTAATTAGTGTTTTTCTTCAAAGTCGGAGTGCCTTTACCTGAGAGGCAAAGAATTAACAGTCTTCATACAAATAATTCAGATCTGTTATACAGACGTGCACGCAAAACCTAATTTCTGGAACGAGACTAAAGTCTGGAAGGGGACGAACCACTAGAACTTTCACCTGGAGAAAGGCAAAGAATAAGAAGAAATCATCGGCAACAAACTTTTGTTTTGTCTTTCCATGTCACTGAAATTGTGTTTATATTATGTTCAGCCCCTAATGGCGCTGTTTAGACCAAGCGCGAAGTCTCCGGCAAGAACCGTCTTCAATTGGGGCCACTGGACGTGTGGAATGCTAGCTTGGATACTCTCTTGTAAGTTATTTCCCTTGACTTAATCTTGTTCCGGACTGTTGCATTTGTGGATGCTTGTTTTGTATGTTTTCTTTACGGGTTAGCTGATTTTAGTTGGTTGTTATGTTTGCTGGTTGGTTAGTCAGTCCTCTTGAAGACCTAAAACTATGTAAGTCCGATATATTGACGTTCATGTTGTCTGAGCCTTAAAAATCGTTTACATCCATCGAATGAAGTTGGTGTACAGACCTTCCTCAAGATCCTTTACTAAAGTTTCATCGCCAGAGGGAGTGTATTACAGAGTTCTTCTCCACCTCTCCAGTCTCTGAAATATGGTTGATGTGTAAAACCACAAACTTGAACTTCATATTATCGGAGAGGCAGATTAGAATATGTCCACATCATGATTCTTCTCCTGCTCCGTCTTCTCCGTCTTCTTTCTTTCTTTCTTCTTTCTTTCTTTCTTTCTTTCTTTTTTCTTTCTTTCTTTCTTTCTTTCTTTCTTTTCTGTCTGTCTCTCTGTCTGTCTGTCTTTTTCTTCTTCTTCTTCTTCTTCTTCTTCTTCTTCTTCTTCTTCTTCTTCTTTTTCTTGCTCTTGCTCCACCTCCTCTTCTTCTTCTAAAAAAATTGCTCAAAAAAGTAATGTTGGCATGTTACTGTGTTTACAGCTAAGCTGCAATATCTGTTCACGCAGGCGCAAAACATCCCATTTACAGTAAACCAGTATTCATTCGCTTTTACGACATGCTTGTTATCGAGCGAACAGTATTCATCCCCTGCAAATGGGCTCTTGGGCTTACACCGAGAGGTCCATATTCAGCACAGCATAAACAACTTGGCTGACTTGATATTTTTGTGTGTAACTGTTGCCTACCTCCACGGTATTAATGTATTCGTTGTGAACAGACGTTAGCAAAGGGGTTATGCAGTGTTTCCCAAACTTTTCTTAGTCGCGGCGCCTTTTTCTTTTTTTTTTTTTTCAATAAAAAATTTTCCACGGCGCTCTAACCTAAGTAAAAGTATGACTATTCGTATGTAAGAGATCGTATATCTTCGAATATTAAGCGGCGCCTCTGTGAAGAGGTCGCGGCTTCCCGGGGCGCCGCTGCGCACAATTTGGGAATCACAAGGATTATGTGATATTTTAGACTGGTAAATTCGAATGTTGCGTCGAGGAAGATTTTCTTTTTCTTTTTATAACTGACCCTTGCGACTTGGTCGACCCAGCCTAAGACAATACTGAGATGTTAGGCCGACTACTGTGAGATTGATCATATCACCCATGAAGTGTCGGTAGATATTTATATCTAACACTATATTCCTGATGCACTACGGCGTGAAAGTGGTCCTTCATTAACTGCCCAAAAATTACTATTACCGCCCGAGTTTACCATTTTTGTGGTGTGGGCAGGGGATGAAAGAGTCTTTGAGCCTGTGGATTTAGGACCGCATGACCAGAGCTGTAGACACGGACTGTGCATGTAGAAACTTGATTTTTTTGCCTCCGACAGAACATAACGGAGGATTCGAACCTGGGTCTTCCCGCATTCGAGCCCAGCATTCTTAACCGTTAGTCCATCCTCTCCTGTCTTTACTCACTAACTTGACAAAATGAGACGATCATAATATATACTCACTAAAAAATTAACTATTAATTGTATTTTGTGATAATGAGAACGCCATATACTACAAATATATGAAACTGCAGATAATGTACTTTTTATATCAGATTTAAGATACACACACACACACACACACAGAAAGAAAGAAAGAAAGAAAGAAAGAAAGAAAGAAGAGAAAGAAAGAAAAAAGAAAGAAAGAAAGAAAGAAAGAAAGAAAGAAAGAAAGAAAAAGAAGGAAAGAAAGAAAGAAAGAAAGAAAGAAAGAAAGAAAGAAAGAAAGAAAGAAAGAAAGAAAGAAAGAAAGAAAGAAAGAAAGAAAGAAAGAAAAAGAAAGAAAGAAAAAGAAGAAAAAAAAGAAAAGAAAGAAAGAAAGAAAGAAAGAAGGAAAGAAAGAAAGAAGAAAGAAGAAAGAAGAAAGAAAAAGAAAGAAGAAAGAAAGAAAAAGAAAGAAAGAAAGAAAGAAAGAAAGAAAGAAAGAAAGAAAGAAAGAAAGAAAGAAAGAAAGAAAGAAAGAAAGAAAGAAAGAAAGAAAGAAAGAAAGAAAGAAAGAAATCGTTGAGATATTGTAGTCGAGCTATTAAAGACAGGTTTCTTTTGATTAGAAGGAACAATGCGGGGGCAGTAGATCATTGTGGACTGGAGAGAATAGTGCAGTTAAGATTGACCAATTTAACCAAACGTCTTTCCAAGCAAATTAGGACACGTTCCATTGATAACTTTGTTGGACTGATCTACTTTCCTAGGGGTTATGGGTGTGTCGCTCTGTTGTTTGCTTTCTGGCTTGTCTTGCATTTACGTTTTTCTTCCGAGTAAGAGAATGCCAATGACATAGGTTGCAGCTCCTTCTAGGGGGACTGTTTGTTAGATCCAGTTTATCCATGTTTTTGGAGTGTTAAAAATCGCTGGCGTGCTGAAATATACAACAGGCGGTATCAACGACATTGTGGAAAACCGGTAACCTTGTGTGAAGGTTGCGTTGCTCAAGGTCGACCAATCAAAAGTAAGCTGGGCTGAAGGTCGACCAATCAGAGGCGAGGTAGTGTGTAACACTGTAAATGGGGAGAACTAACTTTACTTTTACCATTTACCAATTTAGTACAAGCTGTCAGTGCGGTCCAGTCCAGTTTGAGGGCGAAAAATCAATAAGTACAAGGTCGACCTCGTTCAGTCTGCTGCGAGCAGATTCGTTTAATATTGTTGTCTGGTTTCTTTGTGCGAGATATATTGTCTAAAGATATTTGTGCAAAATATAATGGATGGAATTATTTAGGGCTAAATGTCTCTACTAGTGTGTTGTGTTGTCCATCTGTGCAAGTCTTGTGTCCGTTTTTTTTTATTTTTTTATTATTCAATCGTTAGGCTTGAGTGGGTGCCCTTTAGGCTGTTCGAACTCCTAATTTAGGCTGTAATTGTGAAATGTATGCGGGGGTTATTCTTTTTTGATCCAGTTTAACATATTTGTTGCCAGGGTAGTGAGTTTTGTTATCTACCTTTGGCGTCATTTGTTATTATTATTTTAATGCCTATGTGAGAGTCCTTATAAACTCTCTTTGATCTTGTGTTTATATTTCAGTACTCTTGATGGTGATTGGTCTAGACCTCAGCAAATCAGGAGCTGATGTGGAAGCAATTTATGTTCTGTTTGCTTTCATTGGCTACCAGCTGGTCATTGATATCGTTCTTAGAGCATTAGCGTGTGCAAAACGATCCCGATGTGGCTGTCCGCCTGAGAATTGTTGTAGTAAGTATCAGAAATGTAAGATGATTATTTACATTAAATATTTCGTTCATCAGCAATAGAAAAGAAATCGTACTCCTTCGTCAATATCCAGAGGTTTTGGATAAGGTCCAAAGTCTTCTCAGATAAAGCCGGATAAAGATTGGAATCCATGTTTAGACGGATATTTATTACTGATCCAGGCTCTTAAGAAGGGTGTCCTTAATACATTGAGTAGACTTCTGGAGCAAGTCGGTTGAACTTCCTCCTCCACTTATTTTCTAGGTTACCGAGGTGAAAGGGTTAATGACTGGCTCTACAATGGTATTAAAAACGGAACCGCTGTCTCCAAAGAAATACACAAAACAATATGCTCGTTAATATCACCGAGAAAAACAAAAACATACTGAAATAAAAATCACATCAACACATATCAGTCAGTTAAAGTATCGTCTTCTTTGTGTCCACTGGCTAAAAACTCCGAGGGGAATTTCTGGTGGTTCGTCCACTTCTGTTCTTTAGTCTTCTTCCGGAACCTGAGTGTTGCATGCACATCCGTTTTACAGATCTGACTTATTTGTATGCAGACTGCTGGTTTCCTGCCTCTCAGACAGATGCACCCCGACTTTGAAAAGAGTTCCCAGTTAGTCAACTCTTACATGATTGTTGAGGAGGCAGTGGGTCTATTCTTGTTTTTCCCACAGTGGCGTTCCGGAACCCATACGGGAAATTTAAAGTATATAAAAACTATGAAGTCTAATAATGTCTGCAGATATTCTTCTTCTTCTTCTTCTGCCTTTCTATCCCCCAATGGAGCATAGGCCCTCAACCAACTCACGCCAAGTCGTTCTATCCTTCGCCATTACATGGAGCTCTCCCCATGTCCTCCCAATCTTTCTAACCTCATTCTCCAGCTCTCTTCTCCATGTGTTTTTTGGCCTTCCTTTATTCCTATGCCCCTGTGGGTTCCAATGCAAAGACATTTTAGTTAATGTTTCATTTCCTTTGCTACTTCCATTGTTCTCCCTATATCATAGAGAGTTCTAACATTCCAGGTGCCAATTCGTCTGCAGATATAGGTATAATTAAAAGTGCATGTTATACTTTTAAACTAATTCCCAGGTTTGTATAAAACAGAAGAATTGGCGCTACCCCCCCCCCCCCCAACTTTTTTTTAGTGCGGACGAGACGGCAAGTACACATTAAAAAATAAAACGACACTGTCCCGGTGAGAACTGGACAAATGGTCACCCTACTAGGTCAACCCAGCCTGAAGCGGGTATCAGGTTATGTAAAGTAAAGGTGCACAAAGTGGTGCAAACTATATCACCCATGTAGTGCCAACCACATAACCCATGTAGGCGTCCGGAGCAAGTCAGTTGAGCTCCCCACTCACTTTATTTTTTAGGTCACCGAGGTGAAAGGGTTAAAGACTGGCTCGACATAACCCATGTAGTGCCAATCACATAACCTATTTAGTGCCAACCACAAAACCCATGTAGTGCCAGTCACATAGCCCTTGTTGTGCAAACCACATAACCCATATGGTGCCACCCACCTAACCCATGTAATGCCAATTGGTCTGTGAAAATGCGGGCCTAGCATTATAAGTCCCATATGCCAATGGTGGGAACATTTGTGCTTACGTGACTTTACTTGAATCTCTATGTTGAACAGATAGAAAAATACTCCAGGAGATGTTGGGTGTTTCAAATGTCTCTCACCCCCCCCCCTTTTTTTTTTCCTAAACCCCCCCCCCCCCCCCCCCCCCCCCCATTTAAAAAAAAAACAACGAACGTTCTTAAATATAACTGCGTATTGCGTCATAAGAGTTTCGCAGTTCGTAATGTCAAGGTGAATCAAAGTCAATGTGAATGGACTTAGGAACAGAAGAAAAGAGTTCGTTTAATAAATAGCCTCTTATTTTGTCACTCACAACACTGGGCACCCGGCTGACTAGCGTAGTTGGTTAAACCTGATTCGCTGCGACCGGGTGACGAACTTCCTGGGGTAGGCAGAAAAGTCACATTTCTCCCAGATTTACGGTATCTATCATGGGATCAAGGCCGAATGGTTGCGATATCCATAGTACCGAGCCAAAGGGTTAACAACTCATGGTTTCTGGAAATTTAAATAAAATAAAAACTGGGTAGGTTGTAAGACTTTCTTGTCACGATCTGCTTTCGTCTTGTGTTTAACTTGAACACACAGGCAGAATCTACATAATGAAGTCTGTTAAGACTCTACGCTTACCGAAAATAACAATGGAAGAAGCTAATTCCTCATAATTTAGCAAGTCGTTTACAGAACGTCGCTCTCGTCACGACAAACTTGAAAGTATCCCGTTCCCTAGCCAGCTCTCCGGCCCCATGTGCTTTTAATGCCAATGCATCTTCAATGTCCTGTATCCATCTTCGCTTTGGTCGATCCCTGCCTCGCCTTCCACAAACTGCACTCTCCATCATCGCTTTTTCCAAGCCTCCGTGACGTTTGATGTGGCCAAAATAATTCAACTTTCGGGACAGGATGCTGTTTATTAATCATTTCTCCTTGATATTCAACTCGTTTAAATGTCAATTTTTTTTATGATCCATGGTATTCTAAGAATTTGTCTATAACATTTCAGTGCAACAGCTCCAATCTTTTTCTTCAGTAACTGAGTGAGAGTCCAGGGTTCGCAATCGTAAGTTGCCACAGGAAAAGTTGCATGATCTCAAGATTTTTACTTTAATCAATTTACTAGAAGCTAATTACGACTGACAAAAACATTAAATGGAGTTAAACCTCCAGCAGGACCACACACACTGAGCGATTACACGGTGACGCAGAGTGCAAATTGCCACTGAGCGGATGGGAATTCCCCATGTCGAAGTAAACAAAAATTCCCGTTCGACCGCTAGGTTACAAAGTAACCGGACGTTCCAAAGGGGATAGTGTAATGAACTTTGATAACTCAATTCTCCTGTATGTTTGTTCAACAGAAAACAAAAAGAGTTATGACCTAAGCATGGCCGAAAACCCTGGCAAAGAGATGGCGAGCGATACCGGAAGAAACAGCGTTAGTTCAACCAAAGAAATGCTTTCAAAAGAAGACGACAAAAAGGAAAGTCGAGTGAGTTGGTTATGGCTAGCGTGCTATTTTTATTAACGCAAAAACTTAAAAATTCGTTATCGAAACATCTAAGGTAAAATGAACCAATCATATATGTGGAACAATCATTTTATAACAGGGCTATCGTTATGGCCCCAATCCCCCTTATGAGTAGTCTGGGGCGGGTTGGGGGTTTCGGGGAGGGGATACGCCTTGTTTGAGTCCAATAATAAGTATTATCATGTGTTGAATAGCAAAAAACATAGAGTAGTATATTTGAAATAATACAATATGTATAAACAAATACTGAGAAAGAGAACTTCTTAGTGATTAGTGATTAGAAAGGATTATCATCACAGCACTACGGACAGATCCATAGGTGCTCCGATCTCCTCCTCAAAAGCTCCACAAGTGTAAAACGACTGATGATGCCTGTTCTCTGTTGGTTAATGGAATGTCTTGTCCTTTTAGTGAAATGTTCATTTCTTGCAGCTCCAGGCTGACCCCCCATGTCCATCAGTCTAGACAGGGATATGGAGTCATGTCATTTGGCGTGCTCCTCGGTACAGTAAGTGCAGCGCATGGCATTGATAACATCACTTCTGGCATAATTTCTCTATATGGTTAAGGTAGCCACTTTGCCGGCTTGTAAATATTCTATGTTAGGGGTGGGCTCATCTCACTCATAAATAACGTGTAGGGAGCGCTCAAGATCCCTGAACTGCCAGGTTCCGGAATTCTTGTTGGTGTGGCCCTGCCAAACTCAGTTAAATTTTAAACAACAGTGGCGTGCAGCAACAACATCAACATCAGCTAATGTCATACACCGCGCCAAAGAGAAACAATTCCAGCCATCACATTAGGCATCAGATAATTGAAAGTTTGACCAACTGTTACAAGCTTATTCTTCTTCTCTTCTTAACGTTAACTGGATATAAAGTTCTTGTTGTTCGTCAACTTTTGGATTTTAGTCTTGTTCTAAAACTTAAATTTTAAGTGTACATCAATTTTACAGATCTCGCTTATTTGTATGCAGACTGTTGGTTTCTTGCCTCTCAGTCAGATGCAGTTCTACTTCGAAGTGAACACACAGACTTAGTCGACATTTATAACATGCTTTTTTTCTTGGAAAAAGGGGGGGGGGAGGGGGGAGGTTAAAATCAGTCTACCCTTAAAATTATTACGCTACAAAATACATTCGGTAAGATTCTTGAAAAGACAGTGGCAGGCAATTTACAGGATTACCTGGAAAAGATAGTGAGTGACAGGCAAATTACAGGATTACCGTGAAAAAATAGTGAGTGACAGGCAAATTACAGGCTTACTTTGAAAAGATAGTGAGTGAAAGGCAAATTACAGGATTACCGTGAAAAGATTGTGACTCACAGGCAAATTACAGGATTACCGTGAAAAGATAGTGAGTGACAGGCAAATTACAGGATTACCGTGAAAATATAGTGAGTCACAGGCAAATTACAGGATTACCGTGAAAATATAGTGGCAGGCAAATTACACAATTACCTTGAAAAGCATGGACTCTTAACTGAGATGGTTAGGAAGTTACCAACCAGGATATGAAACCTGGGATAACACCGCAATCCTAGCTTACGATGAATATATATGAGGGAGTTTCGATATAAACATGAAACAGTGGTGGCGGCACTGGGTTTAAAAGATGCGTATAACAGGGTTAGATATGACATTTTACTGTATACACCCATGTTAGGCATTAAAAGTATCTAAAACTACATAATTTAATTAGGTCTGCGGATACAAGTGCGTGTTCTATTCTTGATTGAGTACCTACTGGACGGCCGGGACATATTGTAAAAACGGGACTGTCCTGGTGACAACGAGACGTTTCGTCAGCATAGGAAAAATAAGCACGAATAATTACACGTATCTTATAATTATCACTGGCCATGTTAAATTT